TAAATTCATTTATTTTTTACTTGCCTTTTTCAAGTCCTTTTTTTCCTCTCAAGTTCCCTTACCGCTGCTTATATAGTTCATTTTTTTCAATATATGTATGAAAGCTTGTATCTGCTTTATTTAAATTATATTGTTATCGATGAGTCCTAAAGGACACAAAATTACACATATTGTTATCAATGAGTCTTAACAATAACGTTCGACATATTCCAGTAAAATCTTTAAAGAAGAAAGGTAATGACATTGCCAACAATATTGCAAGTAGTAAACTATAATGTAAAATTAACTAAAAATTTAATGGACATACTGCAAGTAAATTCATATGCAAAATTACTTTGCGAATTGAATGATCACCCATTTTTTAAAGACTTCAAGATACTAATAAATAGAGATGTTGTACTAGATTAATGTGTTTATAACTCAAATATAGTAGATCATGTGACCACAGTCTGAGTTAAAATAATAATAATAATATTTTATTTAAGAGAGATTATTGAGTTGATGATCAATCCTACAAAAAAAGTTTATTTTTTTATTTTAACTCTATTTTTATTAATTTAAATAATCATGATATTCAAATTACTTAGAAGAAAATGAAGGCTACTGCATGGCTGTCCTTAGGTTCGATATCAAACATGAGAAGTTTGAAGTTACATCAATCCCTCATACCCCCACTTAGAAGAGATTGTTGTATAACTATACATGAGCTAAGAGGGCATGTTTGTGTTACACTTGTTACATATAAAAAACTTGAGGTGAAGATATGGATGCTCAAGGATAATAAGAATTGGATTGAGATGTTGAGCGTCTGTACTGAAAATTGCCGAGAGAGCTGCTTAGGTTCACCACAATTACCCAAAGTTATCAGTATCGCTGATGATAAGATTCTGTTCGAGTACCATAATCATGAGAACTATTCAAGCGGATTATGTAGTCATGACTTTGAGCATGATACTTGCACTCTAATCCTAAATGAAGCTGTTCTATGTCTTTCTTCGTACTTGGAAAGTCTCGACTCACAAGAAAATTGATAAGAGGCATGAAGTCTGCTGTAGAAAACTTTAATGGACCTCTATTTTTATATAAATTCAGGGATTTATTGATTCTTTAGTACTATGGTTTTATTTGTGCTGAGCATAGCCGCAGAAACTGTTGAAAATATCTAAAGTAAATTATGGAGAAAATGATCTTTTTAGATATGTTTTAGTGCTTATTTGTTGCTATTACTTACGAAAGTATTATGTGAAGATTCTATTCTGCTCGGTTTATTCCTCGAGTATTGTCGGTGATTTTGTTGCTCCTTTTTTCCGTTTACATATATCTGGAAGTATTACATAATGATATGTTCTATGTATTCAAATTCTATGTTAGGAAAGAATATTGTAGTGTCAAATAAATAAAAGAACATCCTTATTTTTTTTCTTAAAAACATTTTAGTTATTTGCCAATTGAAGATTTAGTAGTCTAATTGTAATCTAGATAGTTAGAACAATAATGCCAAAAGTTAACGATCTAAATCTCGACCTTCCTAGAATTTATCAATGCCAAAATAAGTATATATTTATATACTTATTCTGTGGATACTTTTATCATATAAAATTATATTAGAGTTAGCATTAATATTTAGTTATGGTTTTCAATGAAGTCTATCAATGATTATGAATAAAATCCATATTCTCTTTTGTGCCATGTAGCCACTTCTAATCTATTGTCTAGGCTCATCGGATTTAATTAATTCTCTTGCTATTATAATGCAATTTTTTTTCCAAATATTTTCTACTTTTACAACATTATACTTCCTTAGGTGAAGCTTCTTTTCATGTTGATTTAAATAACATGAATATTCAAATTGGCCTCATGTTGTTTTCGTGTAGCCCATTCAAACAAATATTAAAAAACAAATATTATTTTTTTCATGTAGCCCACTCAAACAAATATTAAATAAGATAAATAATCACAATATTAAATTTTAGAGACATAAGTGAGCAAAAATCAAAATCGAAGAACAAATTTTAGTAAGAAAATAAACTAAAAATGAATAATTATGATATTTAACCACATGCAATGCACGTGCATAAAAACTAGTAATTATAAAAGCATGAAATTTTCAACATCAGTAGATAAACTATAGAGAAGTTCTCTTGCTCAGTTCAACTTGTAAATAAGATAATAACTTGCAGTTCAAGAGAGCTCACATTTATTTGTTTTTTATTTGAGGATTTTTTTTTCCGATTTAATTTGGGGATTAATTGCAATTCCATTTTCAATTTAAATCTCATTTACTTTGGGGATTGATTGCAATTTCATTTTTTTTTCTTGGTGTGTGGGGAAAGGGA